TGGGCAGATGGGGTGGGGGTGGGGGTGGGGTGTGCCTCCCCCACCTGGGCTTTCAGCTGCTGCCCATGCATATAGCTAATGACATCCCCTGCCACAGCAAACTTACAGTCCAAAACCCAAGACATAACAGGGCTAAGTAAGTAGGAAGGCAAGGACAGGGGAAGAAATTTAATAGGTCACTTTAGCATTGCTTAGCTGTGTGAAGAATTGGTAACAAGGCAATCCCCACTTGGGTAAGCTCCTGTCGGTGCTGAAGATCAGGTCCTTGGGTTTACATTAAATATTGCTTTTCATGGATTCCGTACATAAAGCTTTTTGCCTAGCAATCCCTGTTCCTTGATTAATCGGGGGGAGAGCTGCCTTGTCTATACTGGCCTGGAGCTATATTTGTGTTTAAATAGCCCAGTTTTTTAAATAGGAACAACAGTTTTGTTTTAGGGATGGTTGGAGGTTGAAAACAAAAAGCAAAATGAAATCAAATCACAGTGAAGGGGATGGGTCTGATTAGAGAGAGAATGCAAACTGGATTTCTCCAGTCTAGCACATTTCACAGCAGCTCAGTCCAGGGGAATGAAAATCTAAACAACCTCCTTTATCTCACATCATTATTGGTCAAAATGAAGCAGGGCTGACTAGCGCCAGATTCTGATCTCCCAACCATGGATGCAAAGCTGAAATAACTCCCTGGCAGTCAGTGGTACTAACTGTGTGAAGTCAGAGCAGCTAAGCATATGTCTAATTATTTCAAGGCCTGATTTTTAAGTATAGAGTAGAACCTCAAATTTACAAACACCAGAGTTACGAACTGACCAGTCAATTACACACCTCATTTGGAACCAGAAATATTCGATCAGTCAGCAGGGACCAAAAAAAAAAAAAAAAAAGGAAAATGCTATATAGTACAGTACTTTGTTAAATGTAAACTACTAAAAAAATAAAGGGAAAGTTTTTAAAAAATTGACAAGGTAAGGAAACTGTGACTGTGCTTGATCTATTTCAAGTAAGATGGTTAAAAGCAGCATTTTCTTCTGAATAATAAAGTTTCAAAGCTGCATTAATTCACTTCAATTATAAACTTTTGAAAGAACGACCATAATGATTTGTTCAGCGTTACAACCAGCCTCCATTCCTGAGCTGTTCATAACTCTGAGGTACTTATTATAAAACAGTGCCTGGGCCAAGGTGATTTGGTGCAT